ATATATATATATGTATATATATATATATGTATATGTTTGGGGGGTGGCTGAAATTTTTTATGGGGCCAAAATATTTTTCTGGGGCCAGAATAAAGTCATACTTTAATTTGTTGTGAGTTCATGCACTGTGTTGGTTTTGTTCTTTGAGCAAGGTGATGTTCATGCATGGCTCATTTTATACACCAGTAAAAAAAAACATATACCTATGCCTTGAATTTGGGAAAAAAAATCATATTTTATTTATCACTAAAAAGGGTTCGGTGAATGCGCATACAAAACTGGTGGGTTCGGTACCTCACAAAAGGTTAAGAACCACTGCTTTACAGGGATTTTATTTTTGAACTATAACAGTGTTGGACATCAGCTCCTGTAAATATCGAGGCCGGATGAGGTTTGAACCCAAAATCCAGGCTGGATGTGAAGATCTAAATGAAACAAACATTTATTAAACGAAGAAAAATAAACAGGTAATCTGGTAGCAATAATTGTATTGGTTGGGGCACGGGGAAAGAAAACTCTAGAAAAGGCACTGGAAGGATTACATGCATGATGCTTAACTTTAAAGGACTGAACTGATGAAGTGAGTGGAGAACAGAGAGTGGGCATGGCAAGTTGACTGGAAAAACATAAGCCCTGTTCATTGAATTTTAATGCAAATGTCAAGCAAAATTGTATAATGTTGCAAAAAAATGTGAATCAGGYGTGTTTCCATCTACTGGCTTGGAGGGAATCTATCAGGCTACGCAAAGTGTAAYTACATCAAATGGCTGTAAACAGGAAGTAAAGGTTGCAAACTCACAGGGAYCACACACCTMAGGACAATGGAGAGAAGTTACCAGGAACGTGTTGCTACTGTYRGGCAAGTTGTAATTATTTGGCCATATCAACTAGTATTGGTGATGTTACATTCTGTCTGGAGACGTAGAGAAAAAAAAGTAATTCTCTTCACATTACGGGAACATCCGGGAAGACGCCAATGGCGGGAGAAGAGTCTAGCTGCAGACTCAGCTGGTACAATTATTGGACAGCCGAAACAGCTGATCAATCATGTGAGGTAAGAATGTCAGAGCTTATTCCGCAAATGTGTTTCCATCTCCCCTTTCACGCTTTAACTCCTTTTCATACAAACCTTGTGAAATTGAGGAAGTTTTTTTCGAATTTTGCCGTTACCATCAAACTTTTCTAATGTGATACATCAAATTACGCATAAAAAACATTGATGGAAACACAACTACAGAGACTGAGAGTAAATGAGAAATGGAACAAGGAACACTGGGAAGCTGAACAAGGATATGATGGTAAGAAAATAAACRCAAGAAATACCAAACCTAACATAAAGTACAAAAATACTGACTGGTAAAAATCTAAACTGGGAATAACATAACACAAGGAAGGATCTGGTAAAAACATAATTTCAAACAAATAAAACATAATTACCAAAAACCTGATCTAAAACACACCAATCAAAAACCAAAACACACACATCATGATAGATAAATGTGTCCAAAACAAAACACAATAAAACAGTGGGGAGTTGGACAAACAACTGTTCAGATTTGWTCTGTATGGACTACTTACACCTGCTGTAAAGGCAGGTGTGAATGGATGAGTAATAGGTGTGCAGCTGATGTGGTCTGCTGAGGAGAAAGACAGGTTTTAAATGTTGTACAGCAGTGAAACTGAGTGTGTCATGAAATAAAAAAAATCACTTTACGGATGCACGTCAAAGTAAAAGGTTTTAACTGATAGTTTTCTAAACCATAAAGCACTCGAGTCTGTAAATTTATCACCAAGCTAAAGGAGAAATAGAGAAAGAGCACGTCTTTTTTTTTACAGCCTGAGGTGTCCACTTTTCACTTTGAGTTGTGGCGTATTTGTGTCTAAGGGGGGTCGGCTGGGYAGAGTGGGCTGCAGCCTGCCACGATTAGGCCGCGTGTCACGGTCAGTGCCACCCACCCGAAGATAATCACCCACTCCTGGGGAGGTAATCAGTGTGCACAACCTCAACCATTTACAGTCAAGGCTGTCTCACTGAGCCGCCAATGTTGTTTCATTACCACCTGCATCGTAGTGTGAACAGAAAAATTGCTTCTCTCGGACTCACACTGATTGCCAGTGGAAATGGACCGAATGGCTGCAGATACTGAAGAAGACGTATAACTCTTGTCAAAGCTTCCCATTTCGACTCTTCTCACCCCACACAGATGCATTCTCATATCCATCAACACCTGCTACGACCTAATTTATCAGTCAGCCATGGATGCATTGCGTGTGGGCAGTTTTACATCAACTCGTTCTAAACGGTGGAGTGGGCTTAATATAGCTGAATGTCATTATCACTGAATTTGCAGAACAAATCAAAGACAAGTGGTGCGTTGTGTTTCCACAGGTATAAGGAAAGCAAGCATTTCTTACAAATACTATGTCATGAATTTATGGAAAATACTCTTTTTGATACAATCAATTATTTTGGCTGACTCTTCTTTACAACCTATACTCTTTTAATGTTCAGGCACATAATTTTTACTTGGATTGTATCATTAAATGAACAAATTTGACCAACTTTATGCTGTTGAAGTGTGTTGTGCAGTTTTACAGCAATTCTAAAATAAATCTGCATGCATGGAATTTACCTTGTTTGTGTTCATTAGTCACAAATCAAATGTAAGTAGTTTAAAAATGCTTCCTATTATTTGAGCAACTCTCATCAATGTAAAAAGCATATTATAAGTTGCCAAATGACATAATATGCTTATCACCATATTTTTACATAATCGCTTTGCATTTGCGTTCTGTTTCCTCCTCCTTATTACATCTTTATGTCTTTCTCATGTCCTTAAATTCTGTGTTTTAATGCAGTTAAATAATCAATAAAGATGTCCTCATTTTCATTTTTTCTTCAGAGCGAGCTGTTAAAATGACCTGTTAATCTGAAATCAGTCAAAAAGTATTTTTAAGAGAGATGTTCCGGCTTTATAAAACTCTACAGCCACACTTTWACATCTTTAAATGCAAGGCTGTGTGGCGCAAACATTAAACGTGCAATTTTTTTTTCTTGGATGCAAAAAAAACATGCAAAATTCATAAAAAAAATATGATTCCACGTACTGTTTGAAAATAATCTGGTAACTCTTCCCATTGACAGGCAGCAACAAATTCAAAATCTTTGCCTACAAGCTGGATTAGCAACTGCCTGCTTGTTTCTGATTGGAGAAGTACGGCTGCGTTTGGCTGTTTTTAGAGGAGACATATCGTCCTTTTAAATCCTTCTTTTTCACATTCAGTTGAGGTCTATATAAAGTGGAACTTCAATGCTTTGGTCTGAATTCCTCCCTGTTGTAACTCCACAAGCCCCCCTTTCACTCCTTTTCTGAGGTGTGTCTCAGATCAACTCGTTTTGAGGCTGTCTCTTTAAAGACAAATGAGGTGCTTCACACCCGCTGCACTCCAACTTMSAGACTGGTTCATTCTAGTTTGACAGAAGGGTTTATGACTATATAGCTGCGCAGAATCATTTATTTTACAAATGAATTTAAAGATGTCAACAAAGRAAGACTTGTCCATCCAGTCTTACATGTTGGAGCCAGAGTYTGACCCAGAGCCAGAGGAGAATGAAGACCACCAAATTTTAGTTGGTAAGTCCAAACCTTATTTAGAAGTTCTGTCACAAGAAACTTTAAGTACATAACGAAAYGTATTTAACAGCTAAAAAAGTGAATTTTGCACATGTCCCCTTTAGCACATCGTTGGTTCTGCATTTGGTCTTGTTCCAATTGAACAATAAATAAGAATGTATATGTGTTGTGCTATATTAAGACCTAAAACCAGATGATTCCTTTACGTTGTGTTTTGCAGGATTTTTGATAAGCCACATGCCATCTTTAAGTTTGACTGTTTGTACATAAAAAGACAGAGTCGTGTTGCTAATTTTATTGTGGGAATGATTTGTTAAAAATATTTTATTTTCATTTGTCATTTAGTTTTTACTGTTATCCTCCTCATCTTAATCAACACAAAAACTCCAGTCAGTAAAGTCCACAATCACTGCCACGTTACCACCTTCACCGTCTTCAGAAGCAGCTTTGATCCAAGTTTTATTAAACTCAGAAGTTCATAACAAAACACTCGAGGCAGTCAAGTCAGTCACTGGAAAACAAAATGAGGTATTTTACACTCGACTCAACCTAAAGTCAACTAACAAAACCTGATTTACAGCACATTGTCAAATTCTAACAGGTAAAGTGTTATAAACTACAAAATTCCAAGAGCTAAAAAACTTTTATTTATTTAAATCYGTCAACATATATCAGTTTGTATTTACCTTGTTGATTTTATAATAACCACAATTATAATTAATGTGAAATACTTCATWTGCATCCATGAGAACTTGCCATGTGAGTATACAGAAATACTGAAGCTGAACAAAAATAAGGCAACTTCATATATCGTATCAAATATACAGAGGAGGAAATAAGTATTTGATCTCTTGCTGATTTTGCAAGTTTGCCCAAAGACGTGAACAGTTTATAATTTTAAGGGTAGGTTAATTTTTTCAGTGAGAGATGGCATATTAAATAATGGTGAATAAATGATAAATAAAAAATATTTTCAAAAAAATCTGAAAAATTATATTGCATAAATTATACACAATTGCATTTTGCAGAGAGAAATAATTATTTGATCCCTCTAAAAAAACTAAACTTAATACTTGGTGGCAAAACCCTTGTTGGCATGCACATCAGTCAGACTTTTCTTGTTGAGGTTTGCACACATTTCAGGAGGAATTTTGGTCCACTCCTCTTTCTATCATCTATTAATCAAGACTTTGAGGATGTCACTTGGCAGCATGGACTTTCAGCTCCCCTCAGTGGGTTTCGATAGGATTAAGATCTGGAGACTGGCTAGACCACTCCATGACCTTAATGTGCTTCTTTTTGTGTCACTCCTTTGTTGCCTTGGCTATATTTTTTGGGTCATTGTTGTGCTGGAAGACCCAGCTACGGCACACCCTGGCAGAGGGAAGGAGGTTACTCAGAATTTTACGGTACATGGATCCATCCATTTTCCCATTGATGCGGTGAAGTAGTCCTGTGCCTTTAGCARAGAAACCCCCCAAAAACATAACGTTTCCACCTCAGTGTTCTTTGGGTCATAGTCAGCATTTCTCTTCCTCCAAACATGGCGAGTTGAGTTAACGCCAAAGAGCTCAAAGTTTGTCTCATACAACTACAGCACCAATCGCTCTCAGAATCATCCAGGTGTTCACCGGCAAACTTCAGATGGGCCTGAACATGTGCCTTCTTGAGCAGGGGGAGCTTGTGGGCACTGAATGATTTAAATCCATTACTGTGTCATGTGTTACCAATGGTTTTCCTGGTGACTGTGGGCTCAACTGCCTTGAGATCATTTACAAGTTCGCCCATTGATCTATCAYCTTCTTCTTCTGTGTGAATGTGAGTGTGAATGGGTGAATGTCTGTTAGTGTAAAGCGCTTTGGGGTCCGGAGGGACTTGAAAAGCGCTCTATAAGTTCAGTACCATTTACCATTCTTCATGATCAAGGATACCCCACGAGATGAGATTTTGCATGGAGCCCCAGTTCGATGCGGATTGACAGTCGTTTTGTCTTACTATTGCACCAACAGTTGCCTCCTTCTCACCCAGCAGCCCATTCCAGCCTTGTGCAGGTCTATGCTCTTGTCCCTGACATCCTTAGACATCTCTTTGTTTTTTCCCATGTTGCAGAGGTTAGAGTCTGACTGATTAATTGTCTGTGGACAGGAGTCTTTTATACAGGTGACATGTTAAAACAGCTGTCTTTAATGATACATGGACTGAACTTTAACGCAGGTAATGAGATTAGGAGAGTCTAACTGGTCTGTAGGAGCCAGGAATCTTAAAGTTTGGTAGGGGATCAAATACTTATTTCTCTCTGCAAAATGCAAATAAATGTATATAATTTATATAATGTAATTTTCTGGATTTTTTTTATTCTATCCCTCACTGTTAAAATGAACCTACCCTTAAAATTATAGACTGTTCATGTCTTTGTAAGTAGGCAAATGGCAAAATCCGCAAGGGATCAAATACTTGTTTCCTCCACTACATGATGAGGGACAAACTCTAAGGTGCAAGTTAAGGCATTGTTTGTCCTGAACTGTGATATTTAATGTCCATTTATATTTGCAATGATGGGCTTCAGTTTATATCTATTAAGCATTTAGGAACTGGAATTTGATTGAACAGAGCTGTCACCTCACAGGAAGAAGGTTGCAGGTTTGCCTCTCAGCTCCTTGTGAAAAAATGCTGATGGAATTGGATTCAGTGCCAATAATTTTGGCACCTTCATTTTGAATAAAAACACTATCTGGTAAGTCCTAAATTTGCCAAAAGCCTCCATTTTAACTGAAACTGTAGCTCCTATTCAGACGTTTCAACTCTAATGAGCATTCGAACCCAAGAAGCTGTCAGTTTCATGATGAAAAAAAGAAAATCGCACTAAAATCGGGACGATATTTAAACCAGCTAACCAGCTTCAATCGAGGCCGTAAAACAAATCTGCAGAACAACTAATGCATTTTCACAGAACACTGTAGCATCGAATGAGAATAAAATCTTCATGCTGTCATCTTTTTATAGTATCCTTCATAAAAACATAATAGATGTCATTTGGTTGATCAATAAACACAACAACAGAGCTGCATTTCTTGCAAAACGCAAATTGATTAAACACACTGATGTTTACCGTTTCCTGCTCGTAAAACTGCAAACTGAATACTTTAATTTTAACAGATTTGATCATCAAAATAAAGCAGTTAATCCGATTCATACTGCTTTGGCTTTGAAATGAAACAGGTAATTGTTTTAGTGGTAAAAACCACAAGGATTTTCCTAATAATCTAACAATAATAATAATTTACAAGGCAAATATTAGCATTTGGGTGAATGTTTGCAGCAAACGTTGTTCAAGAATTAATTCTATGATGAACAGATTAACAATTGGGCAATAAATAAATAAATAAATAAATTATAATAAATTATACATTTTATCTTCTCACATACAGTAAAGGTTTTCTGTGACAAAAATTTGAAACAGTTTGTCTCTATGCTAAAGCTTGATTGCTCACAAGGAACAAAAAAGTTATGCTAATACAGTCATTTGTGGCTGCACTGTTAAATTATTCCAGTGCATTAAAATAGTTATGTTTGTGAGATTTTACCAGAGAATAAAAACCCTCCTCATTTGATTTTCACTTATGAAGATGTGGAATAAGGGAAAATAAAGGTGTTTTCTACATATTAGCAAATTTGAGGTTTCACCAAATATTAACGTGTTAAAATGTGGTAAAATCATTATTTTGCCAATTAAAAGTAGAGTTTAATCAATTTGTTCAAGAATGTGTGTGAAAATGTTTTACCATCATTCTCATTATGTGCAACAAATAAATAAATACATAAATAACAAAAAAAATTATATACTACATAATACTTTGGGTAATTTGAAGTGCTACATACGAATCACCTAATCACTGGCAAACACTTTTTGCACAGACTCCCAGCAGGTTTTAAGATAAGACAAATATAGAGTATATCAGTACAAACGTGGCAAAATTAGTAAATAAAGAACTGCATCCATACTCGGTTRAAAACATCGTGGCTAAAAACTGTCTGAAAATCCTGTGTGAGCACGTCCGTTCCTCCAGGTGGATGTAAAGTCTGCACTTCATCGTCCTCGCAGCTGCACCAATCTGCTGCTCTGAGCAGAACCACTCCTGTAGTTTGTCCTTGTCTGCAGTGACTCTGCCCTCTTTCTTTCTGTCTTTTTCTTTTTTTTTGTCATGTCAGACCAAATTCATGCAGACGTGGGCAAGAATAGAAAAAAATAAATAAATAACTAAATAACAAAAAAATAAATATATATTTGTCCTCGTCTTGAATCAGGTTCCCCCCTCAGCGCCTCTCTGTCACTCTGCTGTGGGCAGGCTGCTGCCCTGGTTCTCGGGCTGGGCCATCCGTCCCGACGCGTTCAAGGGGCTCCGTTTCAGCAGTTTGTTGACGATGTCCGTGCACGTCTGTTTGTACTGGTGTCGCAGCAGGGAGTACACGAAGGGGTCGCAGGCCGCCTTGCTGTACGCTAAGCACTTGGAGACGATTCCCCAGTGAGGGTTGATAGGCACTGCTGGAAACAACTCCACGATCCTGCAGGAGAGCAGAGTAGAAGGGCGAGAGCCAATAAGTCTGTTTAAGTCGAGTTCAAGCACGTGTGCTTGTGGAACTGCTCACACATCTAACTATATGTATCACAGGCTGTTCATGTCAGTCTGTTAGCAAAATATTTGTTATAGTGGATAACTTCTCAGAGCATAACCACATGGATGAACCAGTGAGTCAACCTGATTAAAGATGGCTGCCACAGTTGATCAACCTTAGCGAACCCTTACAAGACTTTAATTCAGTTAATTTTACACATATTTACCTAAAATCTGATGCAGTAGCAGATGAAACTTAACTCCGACTCTAAAAATGAAGTGTTGGTTACTTCAGCTGGTTCCACCAAACCGAGTTGAGTAAATGTAAAGCAATTGAGTAAAATAGCTTTACATTTACTCAGCCAAGTTGACATATCTAAGGGGTAATTTACACTACATGCGTTCCGACCTCCGCAGCAAATACGCACCCATTATAGTCAATGAGAGTGTTTACACTGGCTGCGCACGGCAGCGGTGAGCGGACGGCGATCCGTCAAAATTAGAACAGATCCTATTTTTGCCTGACACCGGAGCTGCGTCGGAGTCAATTTTTAAAGATTACTCGCACCAACAGGAAAAGAAAGGAGCAATACATCCATATTTTCAAAATAAGACACTTTTAGGCTGGATAATTTGTTGGAAAAAAGTCGAATTTGCGGCTATATTAATAAATAGACGGATATATTTCTACACAAATGCTGTCAGAATGTATCGTTCTGTTTGGGAAGCAGATGGAAACATGTAGCATGAAGCATATGTTTACACACACGATACACGTGGATTTTATTTTGAAATCAGAAGTTTCAGAAAGCCGACAGCGAGACAGCTTCAACATCGATACCAAAAGCCTTTATATCGTTGTTTTCAGCTGTTTTTGGAGCTCGTCTTTCACAGAATTAATTATTTTTTGCTGTGACTTCCACACTTTTCACTGAATTTATCGCACCATCTGCTTCCTGCACGTCTGTCGGACCGGAGCAGAGCGGAGGTAGTGTAAACTGGACTTGAAACGCACGCCTGCGACCTGCGCAGCGGAGTGGAGCGAAGACGGAAGGCAAGTAATGTAAATTAGGGTTAACACTTCATTTTTTAAGAGTGATACTGTCACAATTTTGTGGGCATTATGCAATCATTTAAGGAAAGCTAGTATCATTAAAATTTTAACTTATGTTCTGTAAACATTTGTATTGTTAAATGCTTATAATATTTGGAAGTACTTGATCAATCAATTACTTGATTCATTGAGGTAATAATTAACACAAATGGTTTTACAAATGTATAAGAAAGAAATAAAAGACAGGGAGCTCWTCCACCACCTAAAATATTATGTATGAAAATTAAAGAGACATTTAAGAACATTAGGTGTCTTGTCTGCCTTGTCAAATACAAGAAATACAGCTTTTTTTACACGGTCTCATAAAACGGCGTGTAAAAACGACCGATTCGATATTACTGCACTCTGTATGATTAGTGTGTCYGCAGTTGAGCTCCGTCAGCACATTAACACTGGGCCAGAGGGTTTCACTGACATTTACTCCTGTCGCTCCAATAAAACCGTGAGCAGGAAGTTAAATCAGCAGCTGGGCCACGCAAAGCTCTGCCCATCATGACCCTTGTGCTCGGTGTCAAAGCCTCCAGTGACGCCATCATTATAACAACCTCGCTTCACTGGAAAAGGTTCTCTGCTGGTTCAGTTGTCAGCCTTTTCTATCAAAATGTTAAACGAGTGGACATCCTTTATTGGAAAAACGATTCTTCGCATTGATTTAACGCTTTGACAGATGTGCAAAATTGATGCCAAAAGTAGACAGAAGCTATTTTGGAGGCAGATTGAGTTTTTCTTTATTTTGTCGAAAACAGTGGACCTTTGTRTGGTGGACTAAAATTGACATAACAGCATGACCCGCCCTGCTCTGATCTGAATGGGTAAAAGTCTGACTGTGGTTCTCTCTTTTGGTTGAAAGAAACATCAGTTTAAAATCTGAATGTTATTTTTCTCTTTTCATTTATTCAAATAACGGTCAACCATCATTTGAGGGGGGAGAGATCAACCATCCTTGGAGGAGAACTTTACAACCAGGAGGAGGGATATGGCTGTTCGAAACTAAAAACAATAACGATTACGTGGACCCCTGACCTCTGACCTATTCATTTTAGAATTGATTATAAACTTTTATGGATGACCTATAAGGCCCTGAATGGACTGGCTCCTGAATACCCTATGTGCCCTCCAGATCTCTTAGATTCCATGATCATTTGCTCTTGGCTGTCCCGCGGTCCAGACTGGTCCACAGAGGTGACCGAGCCTTTTCAGTCGTGGCTCCTAAACTGTGGAACCAGCCGCCCCTTCACGTCAGACACGCCTCAACTCTTGGAGTTTTTAAATCTCTTCTTAAAACACACCTATTTTCAAAAGCTTTTAATGTAGTATGAGAGTTGCTTTTCCCTCTATTTATTTGGTCTGTTTTTATGGTTTTATCATTATTAGTGAATTGTCCGTAATGCTTTGTTTTTAGTCGCAATTTGTGAAGCACTTTGGCCAACGGCAGTTGTTCTTAAATGTACTATATAAATAAAGTCGACTAAAGTTGAGTTGACTTAAACGTTGTGCACCAATACCAAAGGTTACATTTCAGTTCTGAAAGTTTAGACATAACATTCAACATTTAAGTTCAACCTTTATTAAAAATTAGCTAAATGTAAGAACAGTAAGATAACAATAAAATATTGGTGGAATATTTTTACTAGGATGTTTTACTCAGAAAGTGAGCTGAATAATGAAAGTGTCTTAGTCATATTTTTAGCACTATATTTTACACTTGGTGACCCATACTTTCCAGAGTCATAGAAAGGCTTTGAAATAACATTGTGTTGCTATTACTGAAGGAACATACCTTAAATATCTGTAAATTGACACGTTAGTGCTGTAGCAGCAACATTTTTAAATTAAGCACATCCAGACGTTTGTTTATAGCTTTTCTAAAATACCTGTGACATTTAGACAGCAGCAAGTTCACCAAATCCAGAATATAGACATAGGTTATATTCTTAAGAATAATCAACAAAACTTTCTGATTAAAACAAATTGTGTGGAGTCATCCAAATAAATTGATTCACCAAAATAAATTAGCACAATGCTCTGAAACTAGGAAAACAAACATTTTTCCCTCAAATAGATATTCTCCAGTGTATTACGTGGTCTGTCAGTTTGTTTTACGCTATTGAAAGTTGAAAGTCTTTGCTGTAAACTGGGCAAACTAATTTTTAATGAAAGATGTGTTCATACTTTTTACTGGCATCAATTATTTTATTGATTTATTTATTTATTGACTTTTATATTACTTATTGACCAGACAAAGTAGGTATAACTAAAAACATAAGCAGTTTTGACGCCATTCAAGAAAAAAAAAAACTCACGGATTCTTTGTTTTATGCTAAAATGACAGAGAAGAAATAAACCAATTAACCTCGTGGCATTCTTTACATTTCCAGCAAATAAACCCCTCATATAGCACAGATCCCTTTGTGTCGTTCAATATGTTACTTTATTAAATTCATGTGGATTTCTTTTTTTAAGGTGGACACATCTATGATATTGAATAAACCTTTCCAACAGCAGCGTGTTTGTGCAGAAACAGTGCCTTTATTAAATTGGATRTTGGCCAGCATTTATTTTAGCCGAAAGTGGAGTTGAAAAGTTAAAAATGAAATCCTTCCTGTGAAGCAAGCAGGACTGTGAATATTATTTTTCTCTTGCTCATATCTTGATGTTGTCGTGTCGAGATAAACTCGTCATATAAAGACAGGAACATCCCTTACGTGTCGTCGCTTTGCAGGCCATCTTTGAACTCATTTCATCAGAGCAGGGTTTGATGTAAGGGGATTCTAACAAACAGGGATGCACCCGGCGAACTTGAGAGGAAGAAGAAAAAAAAGCGCTAATGCAGCAGCAACACCAGCAGAGCTGAGGCGTATTACTTATCACAAGGTCAGCCAATCTCATCATACAAATCTGGCTGTGTGGAGAGAAAGCAGACAGGAAGTGGGAGGGGGAGAGGTGTGTGTGGGTGTGGGTGGGTGGTCTGCGTAACGCCACAGTGTGAACCAGCATGGTTTTCCCTCTGATCTCCCCTCGGCACCCACCTTGTGATCACGTAGGGAGCAAAGCAGAGCATGAAGGTGCCGATGAAGGTGCTGATCTTCCTCGTCGCTCTCTGCCGTCGCCTCCTCTGCTCCTCCAGGCAACGCTGTCGAACACTGGTGGCGAGGAAAGTTCATTAGTGGACGACATCATTATTCACTTCCTGCTGCGAGAAGGGCTTAAACGTGAGGATCCCAGCTTTACAACGTTCACCGCAAACGCTTTTCTTTGGTAACATGAGACTTTGTGTGTGGCCGAGACGCCATGACGGCTTAAAGTTGAGCAAACTGAAGGTCACAGCTTACATTATGGAGTGATGTGTAGATCTTTTACACAAACAAACACACCCTCACACACACCCATTCCTCATTTCTTGGAGCGTTGCAGTGAGTCTTATTGACATTTTAAACTGAGTCAAATCATGGGTGCTGTCTGTAAACAAACAAAACATCAGTGCAAACCAAAGCATCAGTAACCAGAGATTTGATAGAAGATGAGTATTTGAAAGTTTGACTGAGTTATAGCTATTTTTGTGTTTATTCATGTGGGTTAGCTGTGGCAACCATCTTCAATTGGATAAACTTCAAACATTAATCAGTGGAAGATGCATATCCAAAAAGGAATTTCGTTAAGTCTTGATGAAATCTGTTTAATAGTGTAGTAGATATTTTACTAACAGACAYACAAGGTTGACTTTAACAATTAATAGTRCAATTTCAATGCTTGAGATCTTGAGCAATGAGTAGGATTTAAAGTGTGAATGGCTATCAGCTACAGCTTTAAAATGGACTAAAATATACACATTTATATGTTCTATTGAGTTGTCTAAGGCGGCCATCTTGAATTGGGTTGGCTCCAAAAGTTAATCAGTTGTAGATGCGCATGCAATGAATATTTCCTGAAAATGTCTTTGAAATACTTTCAATGGTTCATGCGATATTTTGCTAACAGACAAAGTTGACTCCAATGAGGTAATTTTATAACTTAAAMTAAGATGATCTGTTATTTGTTAGAGCTCAGAACATTAACTGGAGATCCGTTTCAGCTATTACCACTCTAACTTTTAKCTCAATCTTTTGTAAAAATCTGATTGATTAAGCCACTTTTGTGTTTTTTAAAGTGGAGCTGGCTGTGGCAGCCACCTTAAAGGCGGTTGAACTTAAAACCTAATGATTTGTAGATGCACATCTAATCATTATTTTTTGTGAGTTTTATTAAAATTGGTCCAGTAGTTTATGAGATATTTTGCTAACAGACAAACTCTCACACAGGCAAAAAAAAAAAAAAAAAAGCGTTTTTCTCTTGGTTCTCCTTAAAATAAACAGCTGTTTGTCTCCTGCAAGTTGCGAAGACAATAAAATAAAATAAAATAAGATAAAATAAAAACATTTTTACGCAGGAGCTCACCTGGGGTGGATGTCCACGAGCAGCACCAAAGTTTGCATCGTAATAACATCGATCCTCTTACAGTGAAACCTGGCCACCTTCAGAACTTTCAGGTAAGTGAAACACAAAACTACAAACGACAGCAGGAAGGTGAAGGAGTGGAAAAACACGGTGAAGATGACAAACTGGGTCCGGCTGCCAGCCCCCGGACTGGACAGGGTGCAGGACGCGTAAAGCCGGTGGTAGCCCACCCAGGAGAGGCAGGCGGCCGCCGTGGAGAAGGACACKGAGTGCGCCCACGTGTAACCGAGCACGAGCGCCGCGTCCTTGTGGCGCATTTTGGAGTGATACCTCAGGGGGAACACGACCGCGATCCACCTGTCGATGCTCAGGGCGGCCATGCTCAGCATGGAGTTGGTGGACAGGAAGGTCTCCAGGAAGCCCAGGAGCCGGCAGAAGCCGTCTCCCGCCGGCTGAGCCTCCCTGACGAGTCCCGCCAAAGTGAGCGGCATGTTGGACACGGTCAGCAACAAGTTGCAGAAGGTGAGGTTCAGGTTGAACAGACACGGGACCTGCTTGCGGATCTCCGGGTTGTACGCAAAGCAGATCAGCACCAGGACGTTGGACAGCAACGACACGATGATGATCACAACTACCAGCAGGGACAGAATCACCTCCGCAGTGTCCATTCTGTGCCTCACTTCTCCCCACTTTCTGCGCGCATTTCCAGGCGTGTTTGGCTCCAGCAAAACTGTAAATTAATCACCCGTGTCCGTGGATCCCCCGCATCTCTCTCCCCACCCCACCACGGTGGAGATGCCCCTCTCATTTCCCTCTCCAGTACATTCTCTCTGAGGACAAGACCAGGTCCCCCCTTTACCCCTGAACTGACTGAGCTCTGTAGCTGCTCTGTTCTAATGCTGCGTAATGCAGAGGTGGTGGGGTTGGGGG